CACCTTCAAAGGAAATACTTACCATATAGAAATGAAGGGGAAAGTACCTCGAATTAAAAATGAAATCCCAGGAGAGACAAAAAGAGGGAAAATGAAAAGGAATACAGAAGTGAGAAAAAGATAGATAGATAGATAGATAGATAGATAGATAGATAGATAGTGTGTGTGAGAAAGATAAAATGAAAAGGTAATAATAATAATAGAACGAAATAAGGGAAAAGAGAAAGAAATGAGTAAAAAAAAGTGGGCTAGAAGGAGATAGAGGGTGAGTGAGGAGGAAATAAGAAGAAATCGTCAAAAGCAGAAAGCGATAGAAAGAGATACAAGAGAAGAGATAGTAAAGAACAGAGAGAGAGAGAGAGAGAGAGAGAGGGGGGGAGTAAAGAAAAGAGAAATGTAGACCGTGAATAGAAAAAAAAAACGAGAAAAAGAGAGACGGGAAGAGAAAGTGAAAGAGAAAGATCTTCATGACGTATGTGTTAACCAATCGTAAAATGCTTTTCAAATATTGCATTAAAGTGATGTTGTAATGAAGCGTAACCGAACAAACAGGAAGTTAGCCATTCGAGATATGGCGAGACAAGTAAGATCTTCGGTATAGATTTCTGCCATTTGCTGAGATATGATTACTGACATTAAAGACATTGACTTTGATATTCTAACGAAGGGAATATTCAAGTATTTTATGAACACTCTGCACACACGCACACGCACGAAGGAAAATGATATTCTTATACAACACAAAGACAGAAAATTAAGAAGTCTTTAAGAATCGCTTCTTAACCGTCTTCTTTTTAATCAACTCTTTTCACCACAAGCAAGGTAATAAAGCCACTAAGACTGTTATAGTGAAACACACCTATTCTATAGTTAATAGACTCTCCCACCTATAATAAGTAGGAGTAGTAAGAGTAACGTGGGAGTCGGTCAGTCAGTCGACTGGCTGATTGGTTGAACTCTCTGCCTTCGGGCGGGGAGGAACCCGAACGAGGCTACGCCGAGGGGCGGAGTCTCGTTCGGGGAGGTAAACTGGCCCTGAGCCCGTTCATACGGGTTCAATGGGTATATTTTTGGGTCGAGCCCACGGGCTCGGGAAACTCACAATAAATAACCGACCTTGTGTCACATGCTGCCCCAGTGTGTGTATGTGTGTGTGTGGGGGGTTACTGAATATCGTCGGTCGGTCAGTCGACTGGCTGATCGGTTGAACTCTCTGCCTTCGGGCGGGGAGGAACCCGAACGAGGCGACGCCGAAGAGCGGATTCTCTTTCGGGGAGGTAAACCGACCCTGAACCCGTTTATACTGGTTCAATGGGCATATTTTTGGCCGAGCCCACGGGCTCGGAGATTCCACGTTAAACCGGCCTTGTGCCACATAATGCCCTCGTGGCGGGTGGGGGGGTGACTAAATATCGTCGGTCGGTCAGTCAGTGAGTCGATGTTGGACGACAGTTAGTCGAATACTAAAGTATCAGCGACCGCAACTAGATTACTCTGCGTTATACCTATTATATCAAGTTCCTAACGTTTTGTACGTCGAACCTATTTTAGGACCGACTTAGTACTAATTCAAGCCTCCACTGCGAAATCACTCCACAACAAAGACACAGGAGGGTTATTGGGTGTGAAAGAATATAAGAAAAAGAGAAAAAAATTATTAAGGAGCAAGAAAAACAAAAGAACAGGAACTTGAAAGACAGAATATAACGATTGACAATGCATTTAAATTTTTGAAAATCTTCGATGTAAGAGATCAGTGTATGTTTCGACCCGTTGAGGGTCTTTTTAATGTTGGCAATGATATTCAAACGGTGAAACAAAAATAATTTAATGCATTCAAATATTCGAGAGATTTTATTCTATGCGTCGTGTCCCTTCAGGACATTTTCGATCATGTCTCTCCACAATTTCTCATCTTTTGTAGCGCTTAGCAATGTTTATCTTTTTTTGTATTATTCCTCCCACTCTCTTTTCTATCGTTCATTTACACAAGTTTATTACGTATGTTACTCTCTGTTTTCCTCTGCCTCTCTTGCCTTAAGTATATTCTGTGTGTGTCAAATTCTCCAAGCCCTCTTTCCTCATTATTTGTAATAGATATTTCAGCTGTCGCTATCTGATTATAAGCACAAGAGTCTGTTTTGTTTCCTCTTTTCTTTAAAACTTCCTAGTTATTCACATGTTCCCTCGATGGTATTCTCAGTATTCTTCCGTAGAACCACATGTCTGTTGCTTCAAGCTCTTTTTCATTTTGAAGGAAATTTTTGGCATTCACAGTCCGATCACAGGATTGTTATGTGATAGCAGTTGAGCATGTTTCTATCTAAATTTTCCGGTTTCTCACTAACCTCTTAGTAATTTTTCTTAGCTTTTGGAAGGCAAATTTTGATATTCCAATGCACTTTCGGTTTTAGGGGTCACATTTTCCGTCATCTAACACTTCCCAGATATTTCAATTTCTTTAAGAACTTATGCTGACCAAAAATAAAATATCTCCCAACGAAGAAAATCTTTACCTATTTTTACGATCAACATATGAAATTATAGATTTTATCTGGGTTTGAATCCAGACCGCTGGTGCCGTTGAGAAACAACGCATTGATCGAATCGGGAGCACGGTAGTGGTGAAAAATATGAACGAGCAGTCACTTAGACATCCCAATCTAACATCGTTAAACAAAGCTGCTACAATCATTGTCATCCCTGACTGGGACCAATCAATCAATTTATACATGGCATAGAGAAAGAGTATGTCTGCCTTCGTGTGTCAGGTTTCTTGTATTTATATTTGTTAAAGCCATTGGCAGTGAAAGACGTGTTTAGAACGTTGAATGGCATTTCCTCTTTTTTTCGCCTTTGACACACTAATCTAGCAAAGAGATTTTGTCCGTTATTTCTTCAGAGTCACGCACACGCCGCACACACACATGTATGCGTATATATATATATATATATATATATATATATATATATATATATATATATAAAAAAAAAGAACAGTAAGATATATAATCCGGTGTTCTTATAGGTATTTTTTATTTTTACAAAATAGTGCTCGATGTAAATTTACAGAGCATTAATATTATAAATTAATTGATTTAAAATATGTTTTTTTTCCGCTACACAGTTCTAACCATGTTTCAAAAATGGAAGCTAAAAGCCACGAATTTAATTTTGCGATTAAATTACATTCGTGGCTTTTAGCTTCCATTTTGAAACATGGTTAGAACTGTGTAGCGGAAAAACCATATTTTAAATCAATTAATTTATAATATATATATATATATATATATATATATATATATATATATATATAAAGAGACAGAGAGAGAAAAGAGAGAGAGAGAGAGAGAGAGAGAGAGAGAGAGAGAGAGAGAGAAACAGACAGACAGAAAGAGAAAGATACAGAGAGATACCCCCACCGTCGGTTTTTCGCTTTTTTGACCTGAATTCGATCGGAATTTCATTCGAATTCATATTGAACCTAAATTCCAATTCACTTACTGATATATGTTTCTATATTCGAAAAAAAAATAATAATCCCAAAATTAATCATAGATGAATAAGCATAGTATAGATCTGCACACCGCACACGCCTGATATTTGTGTATCCTAAAATGTCAAGGCGTCGTCAATGAATGCCGCGTCCCAAGTTCTAGGACATAAGTTTTGAATTATGAATATAGTTGACAGAGTTTGCATGTAGCCACATTACCTCTTCCACAAAAGATGCCATCTTGCATTGTAAATGTCCCTTATATAGAAATACATCTCAGGAACGCGAATTTGGAAAAGGGGGCATTCTCTAAATATTGGAAAGAACGCAACTAATTCAATTTGGTATCCTGAAAAAGAGTTTATTTTAATAAGCAGCTTGTTATCCTATCATCAACGTATATATTTCTTCAAGAGAGAAAATATGTAAAAAAAATATATATATATATATGGTCCGGTGCTACTGCTATATATTTAGAAATTCTTGATAAAATCCAAAGAAGAATCAGCAATATTATTGGTCCTGACCTGGTGTCTCGGCTTCAGTCACGTTTCCATCGCCATAATGTGCCTTTTCTATAAATACTTTTATGTTAATGTTCGAAAGAACTCTCCGTTATGGTATCTAGCCTCGAATGGCAACAAGTTATCACCAGTTTACAGTTTAATTGGTTAGATGTAACCGTAAGTTCTATGCTGACAGTTTCTTTTCTCGCATTTCTTGCTTGTGGAACGCTTTTGCGGCTCCATGCTTTCCAGCCAACTTTGATCTTCAAAAATGTAAATGCAATATCAAACGTTATCTACTGTCTTTTTGATTACTCTTCTTCTATTGATCTCAGTCCTTAATAATGTTTCTCTTTTCTTCTTTCACACTCAGTAGCCTCTTGTGTTTTAGTGGCTTTATTACCTTACATGGAGCGAAATGATTAAAAAAAATGTCATTGATATATTGCAAAAAAAGAGGACTGATATATCACAAAGTTTATTTAAAAGCTTGTTTTTTTTAACTCATCATCAATTTACATATTTTCTCTTTTAAAACAGAAAAAATAATTTATTTATTTTCATGTGTAATGTTGATGTGTGAATAAAATAACGGTTAAGGGCGACTAAAGTGGGATTGGCGTAGCGAGTTCAAATTCCAGTCGAGGCTCGTACGTTCACTTTCCTGCATATAGTCTTCGAAAGATATGAAGTCATCTCTTCATCCACCCCACCCCCGCAGATAAGGGTTAAAAGTGTAGCTGCTTGGTAAACAGTCTAGGTGAAAATCTAAATTAATTACCGGTTGGGTGTGGGACTAGTAGTTCAACCCAATAAAAAACCTACTTGTTGCAGAAACCATTTATCGTGGCGAGGCCTTTGTTCTATACTCAAAACGGTTTACAATAAGATATATAACATCAAAATAAAACACAAAATTTAATTCTAGTTATTTTTTAAGAATAAATTTCACAAACAAAGAACGGAAACAGATTTATGACTCAGTCTAAAGAAAAAAA